GTGTGCGCGCTAGACTTTTGGCTGGTGCGCGAGGCAGCAATTTTTTTTTTTTTTTTTTTACAAAAAACTTTTGTAACGTTCGGACACTCGCTACATATCGGGACCGCTTCCTCTCCAAACACTAATACTCAAGTGTGCGGACCGACGTTCCGTTTCTATCTGCAAATATAATCAGCAGTCAGCTATAAAACGCTCCCGTTTACCTTCTTCTTAAAACATTTTTAAGAAAGAAAAAAAAAAATTTCCGCGACGAAATTCTTTCTTATTCCATCGAGAGAGAAAAACTCGTTTTTTTTGCCTTTTTATAGGAGAAATAGAAAGTCGATTCCCTCGACTCGATTCGATGAGGTAAAGCAATTTACCGAATCTTTGAAGAAGTTAATATTTTGAACTAAAGCCGAGGAAATCGTAATTTAATGATTAATGAACTTTTAATGGAAAAAAATGTATTATTCACGTTAGTTTGAAAAGACATTTTTGAATTAGAGAGAAATTGACAATTTGAATTTTCAATAATTTATTTTCACTTTTAGGAAAAATTTGCTTTTTGGACAAAAAAAAAAGAAAAATTAATTATTCTTTGTAAGATTCGTTTTTTATTTTTATTAACAAGTAAAATATCCAAAAAATAAGAAAAAGGAAAATTTATTTAGAACGAAATCGTTAAACTGATTATAAATTAATTACCCTTTCAATCAACTAAATTTATACTCGAAATTGATTAATTTAAACGAATTGTAAATGAAATTTATCTCTTTTATTATAGTAAATCAACTCTTAATTTATATATTTAAATAAACCATTTAATTAAATTGACTGATTAAATAAAAAATACCAACAATTCTCATCGAAAGAATGAAGTTTATTAAAAGAATTTAATTATTTCAGTATTTATATTTGAAAGCTCAAATGAATAATTATGAATAAAAAAGTTTTATCTACTTTTTATATACTTAAAAAAAAGAGATGAAAAGAGAGTTCTTTATTATTATTTTCATTTTTGAGTTAAAAGCGTAACATTAATGGTATTATTTTTTTTTAAATGTGTTTATTACTGTTTTAACCGCCAATGAAATATGTCATTTGGAATTTTACTAGCAACGTGTAAAAATTACTTGTATACATGTTGAGTGAATGGTAGAGTGGATTGTAAAAGTGGACAATACCCTAGTATTATAGCAGTCGCAATAACCTACGATGGAAACAGAAGAAAACAAATAAAGTGCAAATGAAATAGTAGAGAGTGTAAATGACGAGAATTTATAAAAAAAAAATGTATTTTTATGCCTTCTAAGAATTTAATAGACATTGGAAAAAAATTATTTTTTATCACGAAAAATGTGTACTTATTCTTACAAATTTAAAATTTAAAATTAAAAATTAGAAATCAATAAAGAAATAACAAATAAAAAATTTACCTAAAGCAAATTTATTTAAATCAAAAGTAGAATTTATTTAAATATTAAATTACATCTTTCTGACACTTGTAAAGATTCAATATCTGTAAATTGCAAATTATTTCTTGTTTTTTCTAGAAAAAAATATTTACTACGAAAATTTTCCAGCAAGTAGTAAAAATAGTTATTAGTCAGACAGAAATGTATAACAAATTTTCCAAAACTGAGAAATCAGTAGAAAACCGTATTTACAATCGCAGACACAGTCTATTAAATTTGTTTACTCCTCGAATCAGTGGAGATAGATAATTTAAGTCAGACTCAAAGTTTAACGTATTTTACTTCACTGGATAAGTAGTTGAAGTAATTTTTAATCACACGATACATCTAAACTGTGTACTTTTAGAACCAAGTAGTAAAAATAAATTACAGTCAGACGTAAAGACTAAACACTTTAAACTTCATGTCTGACCGTAATTGATTTCTACCACTGTGATTTTTTTAAAAATTTATAATTAGTAAAAAAGTTGAAAAATCATTCGCGGGGTATATAGAGTCTGTTATCTCCAATATCAATAGTATCGGAAAAATTAAATCAGTCAAAATTTTTAATATTTTAAATTTTTAACCTTATGAGTTTCAGTAGTGTAAGTCAATTTTGGTCAGACATTTCATATCTTATTGTTGCACTTTTATAATCAGTACTAGAAATCAGATTATGGTCGGACGTAATGTAAAAAAATTATGGCAATTAGAATCAGTAGTAAATGACGATTATAGTCAGACTCAGTAGTAAAAACAATTTTTGTCAGACCGAAAACTGATAATTCTTGATATATAAAAATGAGTTCGACTGAACGTGAAAAATCTTATAGCTTTGAAATTAAGTAACAAAAGAAAGTGTCAGTAAGAGGCAATGTAAAAAGTTCTCTCCACATTTTAAAATTAAAAAATTTTAATTCTTGCTCATAAATGTAAAGTGAGTGAAGAATATAAATTTACAATTAATTATAATAAATAATTAAAAGAATTTATTAGTTTCTATTGTTTCGAATATTTTTTTTCAATTCTAATTATCTTGATTATAAAAAAAAATTGTATATAAAACAAAAACAAAATATAGATTTATTTGATAGTAAATTGGATAATAAAGAATTTCAAATTCCATGCATAAAGTTTTGGTATTTTTCTCAATTGATTGTTTATAATCAGGGTTGCCATTAAGATTTCATTTTTATTTTATTGATTTCCCGACTATTTCCCAATAATTTGAAACTTATAATTAGTTTTTTTTTTATTAACTTTTTCCATGAATAAAATGTGTCTAAATCAAAATCAAATCATTCTTTGAATATTTTTAAAAACTAATCCTTTGTTGGAATTAATTCTGATTCTTACTCTAAAAATTATTTTGAAAGAATTAAATATTTCAATAATTTTTTATTTTAACTTTTAAGTAAATAATTTCTACAGAGTCTAATTAAAATTCTTCTAAAACTAATTCTAAATCAATTATTTTCAATAATTTTAAGCAACTTCTTTGAAATCTTCATTAAATTTGAAAAAAAATTCAATAGTTTTCCTGAAAATATCAAATTGATACCAAAGTGAATCAAATTAATATCAAAAATTTGGATTAATTTCTTATTTGATCCACATTTTTGGTAAAAATTCTTTGCAAATTGATACTTTTAAGTAAGCAGTGAATTAAGACAAAGGAAAAAAAAATAAGAAAAAAAAAGAATTTTTTTTTTAAATTCATTACCTATGTTGAAATGTGAAAAAAAGAATTGAAATAAAAATGAAATAAAAAACTATAACAATATTTTATAGTAAATTTAATTGTCTTATATTTCGTTATTTTTAATTTTAAAATTGAATAAATTTTCATTGAAGTAATTAAATAAATTAAATAAAATTAATAAATTAATAAATAAATAAATAAATAAATAAATAAATAAATAAATAAATAAATAAATAAATAAATAAATAAATAAATAAATAAATAAATAAATAAATAAATAAATAATAATAATAATAATAATAATAATAATAATAATAATAATAATAAATAATAAATTAATGAATAAATTAATTAAATTAAATAATTAATTAAATAAATGTTTCAAAAAATAGTTTAAAGTATGTAGATTAAATGTGTATAGAAGGACAGAATGGCATCTTGTTTGATTTAAAAGTTATTTAAATTATAAAGTCATTGTGTTTTACATTGAATTAAAAATGAGATTAATTTTTTCGAAATATATTATTAAAAATTTTTTTAAAATTGAATTCTTTCATGAAATTTTATTAAAATTGTATTAAAAATAATTGAATTTTTGCAAAGAATTTTACTATTTATAAATATAATTGAATTTTTCGAAGAATTTATTAAAATTTTAGACAATAATTGAATTTTTTCGAAAATAAAAAAATGAATTCTTTTGAATATAATTGAATTTTTGCAAAAAATTTTACTATTTATAAATATAATTGAATTTTTTCAAAGAATTTACTGAAGTTTTAGAAAATTAATTAAATTCTATTGAATTTTTTTTTAAAAACGAATTAAGAAAAAAATTAAATTCTTTATTTAGAAATTTTTTTGAAAATACTTGAATTTTTGCAAAAAATTTTACTATTTATAAATATAATCGAATTGTTTCGTAGGATTTATTAAAATTTTAGAAAATAATAGAATTTTTGCGAAATATTTTATAACGAATTAAGAAAAAAATTGAATTCTTTCGTGAAATTTTTTGAAAAGGAATTAAATTTTTGCAAAAAGATATGAATATTTAAAAAAAATAATTGAATTGTTTTGAAGGATTTATTTATCGAAAATTAATCCTTTTCAATTCAATGTAAAACACAATGACTTTATAAATTAAATAATTTTGAAACCATACAAGATGCCATTTTGTTCTTTGGCACATATGTATAATATACATACTTTGAATACTATTTTTTGAAATTTTCGAAAATTTTTTAAATGTTCGAAGGTCTATAAAAATAGACGCAAAACTTTCGTTTTTAATTATTTTAATAAAAATTTATACGATTTTCAAATTAAAAATAACCAAATTAAAGACAATTAAATTTGCCATTAAAAAGAGATGTAATTTTTTTTATTTCCCCCTTTTTAATGATGGAAAAATGTGCGAAAAGAATTAAATATTTTTGAATATTTTTAAATTATCGCTAAAACAGAAAGAAGCGTATAGAATTTTTTCAGTAACTCCACAAGTTTTTGCAATATTTTCCAAAATACTTTTAGATAATTTTTCTCTCTCTCTCTCTCTCCTGGCAACCCTGATTTTGTGTTATTAAAAAAAATAGTAAAATTATTACAGACAAAATAAGTAGTATACTAAATAATATTTGTATGTGCTTGTGTTTATCGTTGATTTAAGGGTGATAATAAACATGAAAGTTTCGCGTGAAGGGACCGGCGCTCGACGAAAAGCGCATCCGGCCAGGCGAGAAATGAGAAGGCGAGAGAACATAGAGATATGATGTAAGGTAAAACGACTTTGCGGTCGCAATATTTGCGAGTGTCGGAACGCGAAGGAGCGTGTTAAATAATATTAGCGGGCGACAAACCTTGAGCTTGCAGGCAGTGGCGCTTTTCTCAGGAAATACAGGAGGAGGAATATTTTGGTATGTATGTTCAATGGGATTTGTTTTTCTTGTTCTTGGCGCTGGCACTGGTGGCGTTATTCTCGTTGCTGTTGCTATTGCTGTTGCTGTTGTCATCGTTAATATCTTTGCCTTCTCTTCTTTCTTTATACGTAAAATTTCTTTTTTTCCACATTTACTCCTCTTTTCACCACCAATTAATTGTTTATCGATTCGTTTTGAATTTAATTCAGAACTCTGGATTACATCATCATCAATTTTGTTTCGATCATCGATTTTTGTAATTTCAAAATTAACACCTTCATCGGAAGGAATGAAATTAATTTTATTGTTTCGCTTCGAATGAATTCTTTGTGAATTGGTGGAATGAAGTGTCGATGAGGAGGAGGAGGTCGATTCAATTGTTTCAGTCTTCTTAATGGTTTCAGTCTTGATTATTTCTGATTTGATTGTCTCGCGGGATGAGCGTGTTAGTGTTGACGTTGGTGTACATTCATTTGATCTTATTGAAGTGGCAATTGTACTTGTACTACCTGTTTTGTGTGGACAACTTTTATATATTGGTATTGCGTATAGTTGAAAATTACGATTAACAGCCGATGCCTCGTGCTTTCGACATAATCTTAATGAATAAAATTGTGAGTGTCGGTGTTTTCTGCGACGTGGTTTCAATGTATTGTATTTTAATTCGGGTGAATTACTTCGGGGCATATTATGAATGCTATAGTGTGGACCCAGGTGACTTCTTGTTGATTCGTAGCCGGAACTGCCACCGCAGAGGCTGGTCGTTCTGCTTAACGGCCGCGAGGAACATGGCGAAGTCGTGGTTGAATGCAACGTGCCATGCAAAGCCGAAACTTGGGCAAACTTAGGAGAAACCAACTAAAACAAATGCATGGTCGTATAACGACCAACTACGTTGAAAGCATTTTGCTTGCTCTTACCTTTACTCTCCCTCTTTCTCTCTCTATTTTACTCCCTTTCTCTCTCTCTCTCTCTCTCTTTGTGAGACTCGTCATCATTGTGGCCAAAACTTGACGTCAATTTCTTATCAGTTTAAAACTTTACAAGCTTTCATAGATATTTAACTTTTGTATAAATTCGTGTTGTTTTCCTCATTCTTCAGTATTATTAACAAAACTTAATGGTAACCAAACATTCAATTATATTTTTCTTCTTATAGCAAAAATAAAATTAATTTTATAATCAATACTAATACACTGAAAAAAATAATAGTCAGAATGTGTTTTTTTATTTAGGCAATTTTTGCCTAAGTATACAAAACCAATATACGCAAAGCAATTGTTTCTTTAAAAAAAAAACGCAATTTTTCCCCTTAGTTCACAGTTTTTCTAAAGATATCAAATTGAGACAAAAAAACGTATCAAAATTGTTGCGAAGCAACGTTTTGATACGTTTTTTTGCCTCAATTTGATATCGTTAGAAAAACTTTGGATCAGTAAAGTCAGGGAAATGTCAGGAAAAAAAATTTTTCTCAGTGAAATTAAAAAGCTATTTTCGACTTATTTTCAAAAATTGAGACATTTTCGACTTTTCTTCCAAACATTGCAATAAAATACACCAATTTTTAGTAAAAAAAAAACTTATTTTAATTGCAACTTATTTTAATTTTTATAATGCAAAAAATAACTGTAAACAAATCTTTCAAAAATTGTTTTTGAATCATTTTTTAACATAATTAAATTTTTCAAATACATCTACAATAAAAATCTTTTTGAATAGTTAAAATTTGTAAAATTTAATTGAAAATAATTTATTTATTTCAAGTGTTTATTTCCAATATTTCAAAATTTAATTTTTTGAAGAACTTTAATTGAAAAATTTGAAAATAATTGAAATATCAAAAATTTTGATGAAAAATCTTTAAAGGTAAATTTAAAAATGAAAATTAATGAAAATTGGCTTCTAATTTTTTAAAATTCAATATTTTCAATTATATATTTCCGAAAATTCAAATACACACAAAAATTATAACATTTTAGAATTATTTTTAACATTTTGGAGAAAACAATCATGTTCAAAATTTTTAATTAAAATTCATCAAAAAATTAATTAGTTTTTTTTAAAAGTGTACAAAAATACTTTTGAGAACTTTAATTGTTTTCGAAAAATTACATTAGAATAATTATAAAAAATTAATTCTTCGAATTGTTTTATCATAATTTTTTAAGATTCAATTACCTTCGAACAAAATAAACTAAAATTTTTTAGACTAATTAAAATTTCAGAGAAATCATTTTTAATTAAAATTCTTCAAAAATATGATTATTTTTTTTTAATTTTTTAAAAACTCAATTATTTTGAAAAAATTTTATCTTTTAATTGTATTTAATAGATTTTTCCAAATTTCAATTATTTTTTAAAAGATTTGACCAAATTTTAATTTTTTGGGAATTTTTTAGTTGTAAGTAATTGTAAAAATATTGTCTTTCAAAAATTATTTAGAAATAATTTAAAAAAATTAATTTTAAGAATTTAAAAAAATTAATTTTAAGAATTTCTTTATTAAAATTTTTTGAAAATATTCTACCTCAATATATTTAATAAGAAAAATGGACAGTTTCAATTATTATAAAAAATTGAATTTTTGTATTGAAATAATTGAATTCTCGTAGAACTTTCGGAAAATTATTAAAAATGATATATATTATTAAAATTCTTTTATTAAATAAAATGTTAACCACATTCTACATAGTTACGAACTTTCTCTCTTCTTCTTTCTTTCAGAGAGAAAGCATATAAATTTAATTAGCTCGTCAGAGTAGAGAAAATATTTCGAAAATAGAGAGAAGAAATAAACTATTGACTTATTAATCAATAATCAGTGGGTAAATTATAAAATATCAAACGAGTTATTAAAAATATTAAATTATAATTCCAGCTAAAAATATTTTTTTCAATAGATGAGTATTTAAAAAACATGTAATTTGCTCTTGTAGAGATTAATTCTTTTTTAAAAAAATATAAAAAATTATTATCTTTAATTGTATCAGTAAAAGAAAGGTATTTTTTTTAAATAATACCTTTCTTTTTCTGATGTTTTTTTATACAATTTACAAATAAAAATATAACCATAAGCCCTACTATTTAAATATTTACATGTCAATTTTCTTTAACTTCCTATAAATAGTATAAATAATAAATAATAAATAAATTATTTTAAAACAATCAATTAAAAATAAAAATGTCAAACAGAAAAGGAAAAAAAATCAATGTTTGCATATTGGAAAAATAAAATAAATATGTTACGAAAAATAAATTTGTTTGATATCATAAATCATAAAAAAAAATTTGTCAGTATAAATAACGAAATATAGAAGAAATAAAGAGTTTAACTTTAAAATATATATGTGTATAAAAATATAAATGTTCTATACCAAGAAATATCAAAAAAATTCATTGAAATTGTGGAAAATTAATAAAGATGAAATTTAAACGTCAAATAAATATGGTTGAGTGAAGTACAAATGCATGATTTTAAAGTAAATACACAAATTTTATTAAAAATAGATTGAGATGTATAGGAGAATTATAATTTTCATTTGAAAAATATATAAATTTTTAAAAAATATAAATAAATGTAAAAAATATAATTTTTAAATCAAAATAAAAATTTCTTGAAGAAAATAATAAATAAATTAAAAATAAATATAATAAAAATATTATATAAATAATAAACATTAAATATAAGTATAGGTGAAAGTATTGGTGAAATTCAAAATAAATACAGATGTTTAAATAGTAATGAATATGTAAATTAATTAAATATACGCTCGTTGAAGGAAAACAAGACGAATTTTTTTAACTTAAATTAATTACAGTAATTTCGAGTTTAATAAAGTAGAAAAAAAAAATTCTTGAAATTTACCTTTGAGTCAAGTAGTGACCACAAAATTAAGTTCCTCCGTGCACTGTTGTTGTTTATTTTTGTCGCACACAATATTTTTCAAGCGTATTGCCGTAATAATAAAAGCTTAACTAAATTCTTTTTTGCAAATAAATTTCTTCTAATTGGTAAAATTGTAATTTTCTTTTTTCTACTTGTGCTAATTAAGTATATTTCAGTTTTATTACGAAAAAATAACCAATTAAGCAAAAGTTTTATAAACAATTTTCAAGTCACGTTAATTTTTAACAAAATTTAAATTAAAACAACTTTTTTACATAAATCTTAGAAAATAAATTGATACCACTTGACTGGAATGAAAAAAATTTTTTTTATTGAAACTAATTAAGAAAAAATTGTTAGGTATTAATTTCATTTTCGCTCTATTTTATCATCTCTATAAAAAACAACAAACGTAAAAATAGAAAAATACAATATTCATAATTAATCTAAATTTAATTATTCTAATAAAAACTTGTACATTTGAGTGACATTTATATGCAAAAAAGCTCTAAATTGTGAAATATATTAATATAAAGCACAATTTCTCACTTTGGCGATTATCAAAAATAAATTAATATAACTTTAAGATAAAAGCGTGTTTGATATTGCTAGCAGCTCATTATAATATATATTAAATATTAATGATATATCGATAAAAAAGTGCTGTTCCATATTTGGAGATAAAAATATTTCTATTTTAATAATTAAAAATAACTAATTTAAGACAAATATATTAGCTGTTTAATGCGATAATCATAAACTTGATATTCTAGAAACCAGTTCACCAAACAGAGTTTTCTCTAACTTGATTAATAATCGAGATAATTGTATTTGAATTTAAATAGAGAATGTTACCTAACTACATACTCTATATTCCGTAGTACGCGTCAATGAAGATGTGAGAATTTGATATCCTGCGTTATTAGGACTAATTAAATTTTACTACACTGTATCATAAATATGTGTATCAGTTTAATTTCAAAGAAATTCATTAAATTAGAAATAAATATTTCGCGTATTTTAAAAATTAGTAAAGTGCTAATTAATATTTTTAATAATTTTAATTAATTATTTATTAACTGTTATAATACGTTATAATGAATTTTTCTATTTATGTGTCAGTAGTAAGAGTCAGTTTTGATCAGACGGACCCCAGGGGTAGAAATTATGTTTAGTCAGACAAAACTTAATAAGTTTTTTTAATTTTTCCACAAGTAGTAATAAAAGTCAGATTTTAAATCACTTTTACTACTTAATTATGATTAAAAAACATTTTGAACATTTTGACTGACTAAAGATGAGTTTTATTACCAATAAAGTCAATATAATTTGTCAATTTTACTCAACTAAAATATAAAATCTACAAAAAATTGTTTAGAGTGCAAAGGATAAGTAGTAAAGATAATGAGTTTGTATTTTATGGACTTAGTAGTATAGGCTAATATTAGTCAGATGATTTTATTCAAATGCAGATTTTTTTATTTTTAAGAAATTAGTAGTAAAAGACACGCTTAGTCAGACAGAACTTTTGAATTTTTGTACTAGAAGTAAAGGTACAATATATCTTACTTTGAAATTTGAATACTAGTAGTAAAAATTATGTTTACCCAGACAAAACGTAATAAATTTTTCTACAAGTAGTAAAAGTCAGTTTTGCTCAGACGGACATTGTTAATATTTGTTCAATTAATTGAATTTTTTACAAGTAGTAATAGTGCAGTATTAGTTTGACAGTATCAGTAGTAATTGACAATATTAGTCAGGCAATATAGTCAGACCTTACTCCCTTTTTTTTCCAAGTAGTAAAAGTACATTTTAGTCAGACGATGGCTGTCATAAATTTGTACGACGGGTGCTAGTAGTAAAAGTCAAGTTTAGTCAGACGTAAAAAAATTTTCATTTTGCGTACCAGTAGGAAAAGTGTAGTATTAGTCAGACGCTTCATGTTTTCTCTTTTTTGAAAAAAGTAGTA